TTACTGGAGCCTCCAAAATTTGGGTCTCGGGGCCGGCCCCGTGGTCAGAGTCGTGGTTGAGACTAGACTGGATCAACTGTATTGTTGGCAACTTTTGGGCCGTTGAGGAATGGAGAGTGCCAAATTATAGAAGGCAGTTGTGCGTTTTTTTTTTCATTATCTGCTCATCGCCACTTCATAAGCGTGCAAAGTGAGCAAGTGAGATGAGAGATTTTGGGCAAAAGCCAAACTTAACAAAGTCCCTCGCGCCAAAGGCCCGAGGCTTGAGCGAGGGACTTACGGCTAATGTTGAATTTCAAGCGTGAGATCGGCCGGGGCATTTTGCCAAAACCACTTCCTGATTATGAAAACTTTTTTCGTAATTATCAATCTCTAAACTCCCAAAACAAAAAACATGCGCACTTGTTCCTTCTACGTTGTCCAACTCTCCTTTTTTCAAAGGATTCAGCGGCTCATGAGACATACGGAAAAAACCTTCGGGGCTGAAACTATTTGGCCCCTCGTGGCCGTACACGACTGCGGCGGACAAAAATCGAGGTTCTGGTCCAAAACCTCAAAATCTAGAAGAGCAAACTGTTGTTTGGCTTGGTTGAGTTTACCACTCAAGTTATTCAACATAGCCTTGTCACTCATCACCTCGTATCATCCCAACAACACCATCACGCGACTTCGATAAAAGTTCACACCGCGGCTTCAACAAAAGTTCATACCGCGCCTTCATGCTGTGAAGGAGTCAAAGTGCCACATCTCAGGCTACGCTGCTCAACCACGCCGAATTTAAGCCTCATACCGAACGACCACCACTAAAACTTGCATTTCAAAATGTTAGCGAGGACAGCCAACGTCTTTCGGCCAAGGATACTTTTAAAGAAAAATACGGTTACCCAGGCCGCACGGAGCAAATAAACAGTGCTGTACATCTAATCAATGACCGCACGGTGTTCCTACTTGCTGGCACTGGATTTGGAAAGAGCCGAGTGCCTGAACTTGTATATCATATGTATGAGGAGCGGTCTTCCCCCATCATATTGAGCATGAACCCGTTAGATTCACTTGGAGACGATCAGGCAAGTTGTATTTGATGGACTATCACTGTCACATTTCAACAGCTGATGCAAAGATGTGTGCCAGGTTTTGGAAAAATCCAATGTCAATCTCAAAGCAATCAACATGACAAGCGAAAACTGCACTCAACATGCATGTGAAGAAGTCTTGAGGGGGATGTACAATTTCATTTATGTGGTAATAGATATATGTTTATATGTTGTCTGTTCGCCTATACACATTGATGTGTATTACGTTGTTCTGATACAAGCTTTGTTTGTTTAATCTATACATATGCAATTCAGAGCCCGGAGGTTTTTTTAACCAATCAAATTTTTTCCAAGATGTTCCTTGATCCACGATTTCAAGCACGTCTGGTCCTGAAGGTTGTGGATGAAGCCCACATGATATACATGTGGGGCCTTGTGAAGAGTGGAGCAGCTAAACGGATGTCAAGTGTAATCAGAATTCAAGACACAGGCGTGTTTCGGCCTTCATATGGAGAACTTGCTCGACGATTCCTGGCAACAGATAAGGTTCCACTGTTGCTAATGTCGGCTACTTGCACGCCTCAAGCAATCCAAGCAATCCTGTGCAACCTGAAGATCGACCCATGTAATGTACAATTCCTCAGAGCCGAACTGACACGCCCAGAAATCCGCTTGGTTCGAAGATCATTCAAACGCCCCCTGAAATCGTCACTACAAGGTATATTTGCACATCATACGATTATTCTGACGCCCAAAATCCCACCTACACTTATATACGCCGGAACTCAAAGTGCAACTCTTGAGTTTATGCGAATTATCAACTCAGCCCGTGGTCAGCCCAGCGAAGCTTCAAATGGTTTATCTACCTTTGTTCGCCGTTATCATGCTACTACTGGTCCAAGAGCAAAGCTTGCTGCTGTGGAGGCATTCATTCTTGGGCACTTAGCGGTTTTATGCTGCACTCTTGCCCTGGGGCTGGGACAGAATTGGCACCGAGTGCGAAGAGTGATCATTGTGGGCCGCCAAGACCCTTGTAACTTTGTTCAAATGGCTGGACGCTGTGGACGGGACGGTCGGCGTGGCCTAGCTTTATTATTGGTAGAAGGTACTAGGACCAACGGTAAAAACCGGGTTGAAGACTTTCATACGCCTACCTTGATGTCAGACGATGACCGGATGGACTCTCTGGCCATCACAACAGTCTGTCTGCGAGTGTCACTGGCAGTAGATTTAAAGTGAGTTGATTCATGAGCCATTTTGTCGATTTGTCACATCTACTAACGCTATAGCCATCTCAAGACATGGCTATATACCTCTGGACCCCGACGCTTGGGTTGTTCAGGAAGAAGAATCACGGCAGCTCGCCGCAGGGATGCCACCATGTGATTGTAGCAACTGCTTGCCCGAAGAAGCTGAGGCCATTTGGCTTGCACAGCAATCGCTTACAGTGGACAACTTTGACGAAGCGTTGACTTACAGCGAGTTGGACCTTAATCAATTATGCATTCAGCTACCCAAAAGACCACTGGACCCTGAGGTCACACCAGCGTGTGAAGCTCTCCGTTGTAGTGCAAAAGATCCTATCCGGCAAAGGCAACCCCTTCAAACTCTTGTGGATAAGTGGATTGAGGTGTTTAACATTGCATTTTACAGTGTGTATCCAGCTACGTCAGATCTAGGCCCTTGGGACTTTTTTGGAGTAGAGTTGGCATGGGATTTAGCTAAGAATATCGACATCTTGGCCAAAGCTTCTGACCTTACGCTGATACTCACCAGCGAAACCGTTCAAGGACAACTGGAAAGTCTTTTTGGTGCCTTTGAATCATGGAAGGGTAACAGTGGGTCCGATGAGGAAATAGCCAAAGCGGCAAAATTTCGAAATTCATTGAAGCGAACGGCACCATTGTTTAAACCACCTATTTCAATAGAGGGTTTGGAATTATTCAAAAAGAGAGAGGCCACTGAGAAGGACACCGCAAAAAAAGCCAAGGTATTTCGATGTGTATTTTTGAAAGCTGGTATTTCACACACTGACATTGTGGTGTACCTGTCTACAAGGCGGCCAAAAAGGAAGCAATCCAGCGAGGGAAGGCCGAGGCAGCTGCGGCCAAGAAGCTCCGCATTCAACAACAAGCGGAAGAACGCTCTCAATTGGCTGCGTTCAGGAAGCAATCACGTGAGGCACGTCCTCTTGCCTCCAAATCGGCGTGTAAGACACACGGAGAGGGCTCAGGTGGTCCACGCAAGAGGGCTGCGAGCTCCTTAGCGCAACCCACAAATATGAAAAGAGTTGTATTTGAAGGGGTAAGTTTCCTTGATGAATGTCATAAGAATTGCATGCATAGGGTTATAAACCATTGTATTTTTTGCTAATGAAGTCAATTTTTGTGTTTGGAACACACGTCTACCCTTCCTCAGGACAGCCATCAGCACCTTCCTCCTCATACCCAGTTGACAAACCCCAACGAAATCGTGATCGACCCGCGGCTGAGTCAGCTTGGAGCATAGTGATCATGTTGTATAGCCCGGTCTTAAAAGCATTTGTCGCAAAAGAATTGGTGTCACTATCTGATTTGTTTGTTAGGTGGTCTTTAGCATATCGAAGGAAATTGGCCATGGATGCTGGGGTGATCTTGCTTGCATTGGGTTGAAATACAATCTTATGCCCTGCGTAAGCTTTGATCAATTGAATGAGCCTTCGCAACTGTGAAGACATAAGAGTAATAGTTGTTATGAGCCCAATTTATACCTTTCTTCTCCAATTGGTTATGCAACTAACCATTGGTATATTATTGGAAACTCTGTACGTAAGCCTTTCAATATCCGTGCCATGACCCTTTACAAAAGCGTAGGCAGATGAGCACGTGAGTTAATCTCACAGGGAATGCTGATTCATAAAGCGCTGACACACCGTGCTGTTATAAACTTCTTTCAACCAAAATATATGCACCTCCAGGTACTCATCTAATGGCATCCAATGCTTATCTCGGTCAGCCGAAGGAATGAGCATTGAATGCTTGATTGCATGGGCCAACTGAGGCGGAAGGTCTTCTTCCAGAAGTAATACCATTCGAGGTATATGTCTAGCATAATGGGACAAGCCAGTAACCCCTTGCGCCATAATTGCCCAGCGCTTCCACATCGCAATGAGACGCCCCACATCACCCGCACGTGTTGCATTATGAGCCTCAACAACGGTTCCAAAGTCGCGTAAACGAAGCATCAAGTTGTGTTGGACTGAGTCCTTTGAGTCTTTGGCGTTCTTCAGGGCAGAAGCATCAAAGTAGCGAGCCCAAACGGTCTCTAAAACCTGGTCGCAGTGCGACTTATTAGTGAGATCTACTTTTTCTTCTTTATCTAAAGAATCAATTACTTCGCTTTACACTTACAAGCTCATCAGATATCAATTATTCTCCAATCATAGAACAAGATGTGATGCTCACTGAATTATGAAAACCAGATTGGCTTTATGGACGACTTGCATTGATCTCATGATTGAATTGAAATCCTGTGAGGCAACCGGAGTTTTATAATCTCCACCCAACTCAAAAGATGACCTCCAACCACCACTATCCTCATGGTTGTTTGAATTCCCCCAGTGCAGTCCCCAAATAGCTTTTGCAAAGTTCCATGTTGTGTGCGCAGCGCCGAAAACTGATAGTATCCACGACAAACCCTCAACTGAATCTATTGGAGGATTAAGCTTTCCGCGCAGGCTTTCCACAAGTTGATTTGATCCAACATCGCCTGCAGCTATCAAAAGCTCCTTTGCGTAATCCTCTTTAGTCATGCCAATTTGTGACATCACCTGATCTAGAACTCGTGATACACCATCGGCGGACAAATCAGGCGCATCCATCATGCGCAAAAAATGGATGTTGGGGGTGTGATATTCGATTGGATCAATTGGCGGTGGATTAACATTTAGCTTAGGTAGCTTATGAGGGCTAGGTGCTCTTGGAAGGTGTTGTACGTGTTCAATGAGCGCTTTAGAAAGTTGAGACTTGATAACTAATTTGAAATGATCAATCTCGTGAGGGCGAGGTGCAAACGACCCAATTTGGACCGACTTTTGATCAGCTGCCTTCATTGCAGCCAAGAATGCAGCTAGAGATACTGCTTCAGCGTCAGTACTTGCCAAAAGGGCTGCCCGAAATACAACGTAAAAGCCCCAAGTTCCATGGAATAACCTTGAGGAAAGATCGATGCACGTATTGTGAACTCGTAAGTGTATATCAATGTTGTCGAAACACAACAGCGGCAATAATTTATGATTAACCTTGAATACCTCCATCAGTTGTTGCTCTTGTAATCGTCGCAGATGTTCCATAGAATCCAGAACAGTGTCGCGTGAACACGTCAAGCCAAAGCAATGGAGGTATTCATTGATTCGACATGAGACACCACCAGCTAAAACCATCAAACCATTCTGCAGTGGTAACGCTTTACATCGGCGATTGCATGTGTAAGCTATCATACCACAAATGGCTACCGGAACCTTGGAAATAGAAAACAGCACGGTCAGATTCAAAGCTTAGTGAAGAAATGTAAACGCTCACCATCTCAGCTTTGTGAGCTGCTATTTCAGATGAAGTGGACTTTATATGCACTAAGTTGGCTAACGATAGCACTTCTTCATTCTCTTTGGTCCCCGTGGCTGGTTCATCACTTTCTTGAGAACTTTGCCCATCAAGAGATTGATTCAATACTTTGTCCAATTTGGGGACAACATCCTCAATTGGAGATGAGGTTGTTGGCTTTAGATGGAACACTATTTTGCGAGAGATCAGGGAATGCAAGAATGGCATCCCCTTCTTGATTTGCAGGTGACGGTGTTCCTCTGAAGTATCACTAAAAAAGTCTGTTGGAATACACATTGAGCTGACATACGAGCCTGTAGGATATGTCCCGCGACCAACTTCTTGAGAATTTACAATCTCGGCCGCCTAAACTTATCTACATCAGTTTGGTAGCAGGTTCTTAGAATGTGATTCAGGTTAGTGTGTACACTGACCTGATCCAATATGAACGATTCCCAGAATTCCTGACCTTCTGGTGAGGCCTTAATAAGATTACCGTAGTTTCTCAAGATTGATTTATTTTGTCTGTTGCCCTTCCCGGCTTTAGTTATGCGACGACGGTATACAATGTCTTCGTGATCCGAGGCAAAGAAGGTGACCATAAATTCTTTTGGCGAGAACTCAAGAGTTTTCATCAAGTCTAAAATTTTCAATGTGTGACTGACAGTCTTTGGAATGGGCTTGGAAAGCTGTTCCTGAGACATTGGGTATTGATGAGTGATTGATCTTGATGGATTGGGGAAGGACAAGTCGCATGTTAAAGAAAACAAGACTTTTCAAACACAAACACAATATTTTGAAAGAACATATGTGAAATTGTAAAGCATTCAAATAAGAGTTTGACACTTGTCTCTCTCGGAAGAAAATAAAAATGTTAAAACATAAACACTATGTTTCAAAAGACCACATATAAGCGTGTAAGTAATTCAAACAAGGATGGGAGACTTGTCTCTCCTGACCAATCTGGACGTGACCAAATATCATAACAAGTTCAAAGTTAACAGATAGAATGTAACATTATCTTCTTTGGGTAATTTCCTAAGCGTACGGAAGTACTAAAGGAAAAAATCCTCTCCAAACAACCAACAAGAATTTAATGTAACATAGCCTTCTTTGGATAATTTCCTAAGCGTACGGAAGTACTAAGGGAAAAAAATCCTATTCAAACAACCAACAAGAATTTAATGTAACATTATCTTCTTTGGATAATTTCCTAAGCGTACGGAAGTACTAAAGGAAAAAATCCTATCCAAACAACCAACAAGAATATAATGTAACATTATCTTCTTTGGATAATTTCCTAAGCGTACGGAAGTACTAAAGGAAAAAATCCTATCCAAACAACCAACAAGAATATAATGTAACATTATCTTCTTTGGATAATTTCCTAAGCGTACGGAAGTACTAAAGGAAAAAATCCAAATAACTAACAAGGATAGAGTGTAAGATCATCTTCTTTGAATAGCTTTTGCGTATGAAGTACTAAAGGAAGAATTCCAAATAACTAACAAGGATAGAGTGTAAGATAATCTTCTTTGAATAGCTTTTGCATATGAAGTACTAAAGGAAGAATTCCAAATAACTAACAAGGATAGAGTGTAAGATAATCTTCTTTGAATAGCTTTTGCGTATGAAGTACTAAAGGAAGAATTCCAAATAACTAACAAGGATAGAGTGTAAGATAATCTTCTTTTGAATATCTTTCACGTATGAATTGCTTAAGGAAAGGATTCGATAGAGTAAGGAGGTTGAAGGGGGAATCAGCAGACGCTTAAAAATTGACAAATCCAGCTACCTATATGAAAAAGGACTGCATTAAATGGTGCTCAACTAACTGGCTATGTTCAAGGGCACTTGGACCCAAAAGGTCTTTTTATCAAACAAATAGCCCCTTGCGACGATAAACAGAGCCTCTTAATCGCTGCAAGGGGCTGGAATGGCCCACTTTGGGTTTTCTGATCACAACCAAGCCCTGGCGATGATGACCAAGCCTTGGCGATGATGACCAAGCCCTGGCGATGATGAGAAGTGTCCTTAATGGACCACAATTGCTGGGATGGATCGCTTTAGGACATAACCAGGCCCTTGCGACGATAGGGAGAGTACATTAACCGTCACAAGGGACTGGACCAAGACATATCTTTCTTGACCAATCTGGATACGCTCCTCATGTTAATATCGAGACATGTCTCGATAACATGTCTCGATATCGAGAATTGGTGTCAAACCAATATTTCAATATCAGGATCTTTTATCAATTAAGTACGGCTCAGGAGGAACTCTAAGCGATGCAAAAAAAATGGCACAACGGACTGGAGCAATACATCTCACTTGATCAATCTGGACATCATCAGATCTTCGAATAAGTGACAAGACTTTTTATTTCCATCACAACCATAGTATCGAGAAGGTATGTGTCCTTATTTTTTTGGGTCCATTGTTTTCTCATTTAATGCAAAACACATACGTGACTTTTTATATTTGTTGATCATCCAGGTCCATTGACCAATAGCCTTCTATTATTTCTATTGTTTGCTCTGTTGATTCTTCAAGTAAGCACTTTTGCTGTCAATTCATATTTACTCCAGTAGCCACGAGATTTTCACGGTGGATTAGGACCAATAATGCATTGCAAAAGTGCTGTTTTGACTGTACGTCAAAATTGAATGTTTCTGACGCGCAGCAAACCTGGTTGCTGTCAGCCTTGTTAGCCCCGGCTTTCAGCCCCGAAGGTTTTTTCCGTATTCCTCATGAGCCGCTGAATCCTTTGAAAAAAAGAGAGTTGGACAACGTAGAGGGAACAAGTGCGCATGTTTTTTGTTTTGGGAGTTTAGAGATTGATAATTACGAAAAAAGTTTTCATAATCAGGAGGTGGTTTTGGCAAAATGCCCCGGCCGATCTCACGCTTGAAATTCAACATTAGCCGTAAGTCCCTCGCTCAAGCCTCGGGCCTTTGGCGCGAGGGACTTTGTTAAGTTTGGGCAAAAGTATGGAGGACGAGAGTCGCGAGCGAGGACCACCTCGAATTATGCACTATGCATTGTGTGCTATGCACTGTGTAACAGATGAC